AAGCTTATTTGCCATAATTGGTTTGTTACTAGGAGCGAAATGTATCGTTTTGTTTTTTATATGGCGTGTGGGGGGATGATTTTCATAAAAAATTTCAAATTTTAGAAATTTTTTTTTTCATTTTGTTTTATTTCATTGAAATTTTTTAAATGTTATTACTGCTCCATAAGCCTTAAAAGGCAGTCGGAAATTCAAGGCTTCGCCCTGATACGAGCAGTTTTGTTTAATTATAGATTGCTTAAACTGTTTCGGATTCCGCAAATTTTGTTGCGAATACCGCCAAGTTGCCTGTTTTTGGAGCAATTTTGAGCTCTACCAAGTGTTTGCTATTTGTCTGCGGATTCCAAAACAACAAAGAAAATCAAAAAAAAATTGCAAAATTGCGGATTCCGCAACAATTGAGTTTTTGCCTGTTTTGGAATCCACCAACAGTTCACAAAATGCTCAGCTGGGCCTCGCAATGAATTATTTGAGAAATCTATTTTACGCCAAATTGTTGACATCGGTAACCATGAGCAATCTAATTGGTCAAGCGCTAAAAATAGGGTTTTTGAACACGCCTTTCAAGCGTGGAAACCAAAGATAAGATGTTATTTATTTTTAAAACTGCACAGTCTTAGGTTAATTAACTTCATTCTGGTTCGTTGACCAACAAATGATATTGCCAATAAATTGGCATTAACTATAAACTCTTCCTACAGTTGATACCAAATTGTTAACTAAAACTGCGCATTTTTAACATGTTAATTTTTAACTCATTTGAGCACATAAAAACCGTTCCAAAATTCTAATTAAAGTGAACGTTTTTTGACCGCTTAGGTTGACCGCTTAGGTTTCACAAGGTTGCCGATATTTCTAACAATTTCGGATTAACTATAATACCTCTGCACGCGGAGCCGTAATCGTTTTTTTGGTAGAGGTAGCCGTCATCACATTTGCAATTATACCATCCCTTTCGGTTAGAACACTCCCCCTGTTCCCCGCAGATTCCTGGAGAGATCGTGCATTCATCAACGTCTAAAACATGGCGGCTTAAAAAAACAAGATTAACCGGCTATTGTGCAATTAGCACAGCATAAAGCTCTGACCAAATTTGGGCAACAAAAATAGATTCAAACTAACCATCAAATTTAATAACAACTAGCTTTGTGATAAAAATTTGGAGTGAGTAATATTTTTGACACATCTGCAATGCCGCCTCACCTGCTGAAATTTAGTCTGAAAAAAAGAAATTTTGGGACAAGTTTTTCTCGAGACTGATAATTTATAATTTTGGAAATTTTTTGAAATCTGAACTACGCTGAAGGAGCTTTAATATGATACCTTATTTGACTACGTACCAGCCTTCTTTGGGGTAGTCCAAATTAGGAGAATAGAAAGCCACCCTACGCCATAGCGCTTTGTTACCCTAGAGAGTTGGTGATTGATAATTTGCTGCCATATTTTTAAGTTGTTACAACTTTTAGTGCTGGTCATTTATCATCTTTTTTTTTTCATTTTATTCATACAGATGTGGCCTTAAACGAATTGAAAATTGATTGAATATGGTTAACTTGGCTTTAAAAGTAAGAAAGGTTGGCCAGTTGATCTGCAAGTAGCACAGGTTTTTTTCATTTGAATTTTTTAGTGAGAAAATATACGTATATAGTATTTAACTGACAAGGATCGCGCACGAGCCCTTAGGCTCATCGAGGCGAAACCCTGGGTTCATCCGACTGAATTGATCTAATAAATTAATGCAAAATATATATTTTGTGGAAAATTGAAACAAATAAATATTTTTTTTTGAAATTTTTGTTGTATACGTTTCCTGATACTATTTTTTACTAAAAAAGGCGATTGAAATAGGTGAAAAAGTATGAACGAGAGTTAAGGTTTTATTAGAAAGTTGGGAGGTTAGTCTCTCAGCAAGTTTCATGATGAAACGGTGCTACGAGCTTTCTTTAAGGTAGTCAAAATTGACTGGAGACCCGGGTTGACGTCCATAGAAGAAAAATGCTTATCATACAGTTTCATATATGAAGTCTATGGGAAAAATGCTTATAGAAAATTCATACAAAATTTAAAAAGTGTTTTAAAAATTTTTAATGAACATTTTTGGTCTAGTTGCCTCTTTTGAAGCTTTCTGATCATTAAAAAAATGATTTAAAGTTTTTTATAAAAAAATGCTTGTCATACAATTTTGATATATGAAAATTGTATGATATGCATTTTTTTCATAAACAAATACAAAAACTTGCAGTAACATTTTTTAATCCCATTTGTGGCTGCAAACTTGCTTTTGTGCTTAAATATGAATTTTACGAAAAAAATTTTGCATGCAAAATTTGACTTTTTTGAGTTTATAACGTAGTCCAGGATGAGTTTTCACCCAAAAAATCCAAAAATCACAAGCAAGTAATTTTTTTGTAAACACGATTATTATCTTTTGTTTCAATTGCTAAAATAAAAATAACTTTGTAGAAAAACAGGTCTTTTTTTCTCAACAATCAAAATTTTCAAACTAAAAACTATCTAGCCATTTTCAAAAAATTACTTGTTTGGTATATAATCCCATGTGAAAATTTTAAAATAAACTTTTAAGGTTAAAATCACCAAATGCAGTTTATCTGCGTGGTAATTGCCAGTTACACTCTGGGTTGTTTTATACAAAAAATTTTGGTTAGTGTTTCGGTTGAAACACGAAATTTCGAAACAAAAAATTTTTGTATTTTCATTTATGAAAAAAATGCTTATCATACAATTTCATAGTATGGAAAAAATGCTTATCATACAGTTTCGTTTATGAAAAAAAAGACTTATTTTGTTATTTTCATACACTTAATTTTGCTCTATGAAACTGTATGAGAGAGTATGATAGGCATTTTTTTCATATATGAAAATTGTATGATAAGCATTTTTTGTCAAACCGGGGAGTAAAATTTAACAAACGAATTCTAAGTCATAGTTCTTTTCCACCCTTTGAGCGATATCGGATCAAAAATGTGCGGTCGTATTGATATTGAAAATTGATTTCGCTTCCTATTGAAAAATACAATGGAAATATTGCTGCCTCGATAAATTTAAGGATAAATAAGCTTGATTCAAAATAATTCTCCCAGATATTGCTTTTTTCAGATTGGCAGTAGGCTTTTTGCAGATAGGCTTTGTGCTAAACGGGGCCTAGGAAATTAGACGATAAGCAAATTAGACGGATGCAACAAAAACGAAATGATACGGATTTTGTTTTTTACAGATCTGGTATTTTAGACGAAAAAGCTATGAAAAGGAAAAGACAACAAAATTTTTTCTTGAGAGTAAATTTCACAAATACAAAAAAAAGATAAAATGTCAATACCTATCAAAACAATTAGTTTAAATGATTTAAAAAATGTCAAATCCGAATATTATAAGAGAATTTTGAATCGAATAAATTATGCATGATTGACTTCCCGCACTGACAGAAATGGTTTCCGGTCGATTTAAATCGATTTTAAATCGATTTTAAATCGATTTAAATCGATTAACCATGACCATTTTACGAACTCAAATGGATTTTAAATCGATTTAAATCGATTTTTTTGAAAATTTTAAATCGATTTAAGTGTCTAAAAAATCGATTTAAATCGATTTCGATGGATTTTCCGACTCACTAAAATCCATCGGAATCTCACTTAAATCCATCAGAATCTCACTTAAATCCATTTTAAATCGATCTTTTTGAAAATTCTAAATCGATTTAAGTGTCTAAAAAATCGATTCAAATCGATTTCGATGGATTTCACGACACACTAAAATCGATTTTTTTTTGCTAACAAGGCAAAAAAACATGCAACTTAGAAAACTAATTAAAATTCTTGATTTTTTAAATAAAAACACACGTACCAGATATTTCAAAATTATGCAATGAAATCATAGAAAATCATCATTGTAAATCAGATGTTGTGCATTAACATATGTAACAAATCAAAAAAATTGTCAAAATAAACCAGATTTTGAGCTCAAAATTATGCAATGAAATCATAGAAAATCATCATTGTAAATCAGATGTTGTGCATTAACATATGTAACAAATCAAGAAAATTGTCAAAATAAACCAGATTTTGAGCTCAAAATTATGCAATTAAATCATAGAAAATCATCATTGTAAATCAGGTTTTGTTCATTATTATATGTAACAAATCAAGAAAATTGTCAAAATAAACCAGATTTTGAGCTCAAAATTATGCAATGAAATCATAGAAAATCATCATTGTAAATCAGATGTTGTGCATTAACATATGTAACAAATCAAGAAAATTGTCAAAATAAACCAGATTTTGAGCTCAAAATTATGCAATTAAATCATAGAAAATCATCATTGTAAATCAGGTTTTGTTCATTAACATATGTAACAAATCAAGAAAATTGTCAAAATAAACCAGATTTTGAGCTCAAAATTATACAATTAAATCATAGAAAATCATCATTGTAAATCAGGTTTTGTTCATTAACATATGTAACAAATCAAGAAAATTGTCAAAATAAACCAGATTTTGAGCTCAAAATTATGCAATGAAATTTATTCTTTTTTCTGTCATTCGAAAATTTGAAGAAAAAAAAGAAGTGGAAAAAAATCGATTTAAATCGATTTAAAATCGATTTGGATCGATTTCATTTTAGGTCAGATTTAAGATCCATTCAAATCGATTTAAAATCGACTGGAATCGATTTTTTTAGCGTTGAAATTAATTCGATTTAAATCGATTTAAAATCGATCCAAATCGATCTGAATTTTTTGTTTTGACTAACTTACTTTTTTACAACTTAAATCGATTTCAATCTAATCTGCAGACTTTTTTCATACTAAAATCGATCGAAATCCATTTTTGTCAGTGCGGGTTGTAAAATTTTTGGCTACCGAAATTTAACTGTTGTCTACAAACAATTATATTTTTCTCGCGCAATTTGTCTGCAAACAATTTTAATCTCTCTCACTTTCGTCTTTTTTCTCACAATTGCAGTTTTGCAAAATCGTCTATATTCTTTTTAAGTACCTCCGTCTAATTTGCTTATCGTTTAATTTCTCAACCCGCATGCAAAACAATACTCCCAGGTATTTTTTTGCAGATAGGCAATTTTCATTAGGAGTGCAATTACATGACCTTGGCAGCCTGAATTGTAGACAGCTTCGTCGAAATACCAGCCCTGAGGACAGTCGCAATAGTATCTCCCGATAGTGTTGGTGCAAACTGACCGGGACCTCGCACAGATGTCTGTGGCACACTCGTCAATATCTGAAACACCGAATTAAACAACAAAATTGATTACTTTTTGGAAGCCCAATTATAGGAGTTGAACTGCAGAATTGATTCTTTTATGGAAATTCAACAGAATTCAGACAACCTGACGTTGCCTGGTGGCCATACACATAAATAAAAGTTTTGTGTTCACTGCGAGATAAAGAAATGTAACTGATGAAGTTTTCCGTTAAGCTTGTGGCAAAACACTTGCTGGTTATTTGCTGGATAAATGTTCTCTTACCAATGCACCCTGACCCGTAAACTGTAGGATCATACTGATAGCCTTCCTCACAGACGCACTCGTATCCCAGTCGATGATTTGAACAGGTTCCGGGTGTCCCGCAGATGCCAGGAGTCTCCGAGCACTCGTCAATATCTGTTGAAATATAAATAGTTAGTGTTTAAAATCGAGTTGGTGGAATAAAAAACGTTCGCGTTCATCGCAATCAATTTGAGACAAACATTCACAACTAACAAATCCGAGAACTAGTATTGAATCTTAAAAACCTTTTTTATTAAACTTTTTTTTCTATTCTCGAATTAGTACACTTTTTGCAGCCTAAAAACCATTTGGTAACCATATGTCAATCATTATAAGACACGTTCTAGCAATTCGACTAATTATAACTGGTCGCTTCAATTCCATTTCATTTACACGTAACTCAACACATACCTACACATGCACTCTCGTCTTCTGGAGTTTTTGGCTGTGCACCTTGAATACACCCTTCACACACAAACCCTCCCTCCACGTCTACACATTTGGTCATGAACTGATCGCTGCACAATTCGATCCCATGTGAAAGACAAGTCCATGGAGACTCTGTTTCAATGTTTCAACAAAACTGATTGCTCGTGTGAGTGAAATATTTGCGAAAAAATGAAGTCTTCGATAGTCACTAGGTAAACGTCTGCTTGCACTGAGATTCCACTACCAAAAAATAGAATCTCAAGGCAATTTTGAAATGTAAACATTGGTCGGTTAAAAGAGATGGAGTGAAATAGTATCAAAAATAGGTACTAAAAATGCAATTTGAAATTAGAATGGAAAGGATTCGCCAAATACACTACCTCGCAATAGATAATTTTTTTGTTTAGTTTTCAAAATCTTGACAAAAAAAATGGAGTAGTTATTGTTGACTTTTTCAAAACGAGTATGAATAGATTGTTGAAAACCTCACTTTGAATGAATCCAACGTCATACATCCACTCTCTAGTGACGTCACATTGGCTTTGTTTGAGATCCACGATCACGTGACACAGATCTCTCAGGGGGGCAGCCTCGCCTGAAGCCTCGAAATTCCCCACACTGCCAATCCCAAACCCACAAAACAAGCTCTCGGGGCAAAATATTCCCACATGCCAACCGAACCTATTCATGTGATCCAAACATGTATCTCGTGTTAATCCCAATTTGATCACGGACACTGAATTTGCGATTGGTACTTTTGGAACAGTAAAAGCGCAGTCTTGTAAATTACTTTTTTCACTGCAGTATTCTGTATTTGAGCCTAAAACCAAGGCAAATAAACAAAAAAACGCTATCAGAATTACCATCTGTTTCATGATTTTGCATTCAAGATTCAACTCGGATGCTTTTGGGACAAACTACTCGAAAAATTCATTTTGAACAGACCTCGATAAAATTAATTTTGAACTCTTGAAAATAAGTGCTCTTTCGAGCCTTTGTTTATGAATAATTAATGAACACAAAAAATCTAAAACAATTTATTTGGTTAAATGCATTTTTAATGCATAATTTTAATTGCTCAACTTTTTTCCACTAATCCACCTTGAGCAGCTGTTCAAACAGCACTTGCATGTACTTTTTTGTTTATCACAATTTGACTCTTTATATGGCAACAAAATTCTGAACACCAGAAAAAAAAGTATTTAAAGGATAAAACACAAATGAAATCTCTCGAAAGAGAGCAATTATATGCTCAAGTTTATTCAAAACTTGATAAAATATTTGGCCGGTACTTGCTTTTGGTGCAGAAGTTTGCTTAAAAAAGGTCGACCAATTTTGGAAGATTTTCCAATAATCCCCCTTCCGAGCTCTCATGCAGCTTCAGACGTCTCTGACAGTGAAACTAGTGCTTTCAAAATTGGCAAAATCGGTTCAGTAACCAAATTTTATGAAAACAATAACCCCGTGAGCGCTGCAAAACTGCTTTCAGCAAAAAATAAAGCAAAAGAATCTGGAGAAACAACATGAAATGACTTTGAGACTGAAACAATAGGAGGCTATCATCAACAATAACAGCATCAAAAAGAATTAACACGAAAACAGCTAGCAATTAAATTTGAAATTGATCATCAGGATCAGAAATAAAGTTCAGGAATGGGAAAACAACATGGCAAGAAGCATCTTATCGAAGAAAAACAGGTTAAAAAACTGAAGCATAATTCATCAGCGAGCGAAGTGTCTCAAGGAAACTGAAACAGGTCAACATCTAAAGATGTCCTCGTCTTTTAACAATCGTTTTAAACGAGTGAAAGGTTAGTTGATCACACACTACAGAATCAACAAAGATTTGAAGCAGTTACATCTTCTTCCAAGTTCGTCAACGGCATGAAAACTGGCCGCTGTAGCCAACGAAACCAAACTGCGCCCCCACCTGGAATTTCCCTTCGGCTATCAATAACGGATCAGACTCTTGGTCGTGAACAACAAGGTTTCCTCGATCAACCAAACATGTCATTTTGCGACTGCCTTGGGTTAACGCAGGCAACATCCGCTTATCCTCCGCACAAACCTCAGTCTTTGCCCATTTGAAGAAATATTGCAACGCAAAAGGTCAATGGGCCGTCATTCCTTAATCCAGCCGCACCAGTAGCTGCTAATATAATTTTGGTTTTTCGTATTTTCTAAATTTTTATCTTCCGGCTCTATTGAAAATGTTTTCAAAACTTGTCGATGTTTTGAAAATTTGTCTGACATCAAGTGTCATAACTCTGGATACGCCCATCGTGCAATGCAGTTTTGTCCCCCAGATTTGCCATTTCAATCTATCGAAATCAAAAGTTGTTACCACACAAGGTGTAAAGCAACTCATTCAACGTTTATTCTTTTCTTCTTAGTCAACAGAACTTGCCAGTAATCTTGGATACCCGCAGTAGCCCAACATTATAGTTGTGTGATAAGTGATGGTAATACGAACTCAATTGATGCTTTTTCATCGGTAACTAAATTTTCCCAGCCTGATATTTTGCCAATAGCAAGTGATAGTAACTCCTTTTTGAATTAACCGAACCACAACATACCGGCTGAAAACACATACGCTGATCAGAACCAATATTGTGCAGCCAATAATGGTCAAACCTCGCCTTCCTCGCATTAAGCTCCCCTTCCTCGAAAAAGCATTAAATGGAAGATTGTATGAGAACACTTTAAGTACTCTAGACAAAAAAAAACATGTTTAAATCCCAATTTTAATTGATCTCGAATCATTCACAACTCCGATTGCAAAAATCTGAATAAACAGCGTCTGACTGATCATCTACAGCCTGACGGTTGTTTTCAGGTTTCCTTGAACGGAAAAATATCTACATCGTCGTCGCTTTTTATGATGATACGTAATTTGTAATGCTGGAGTTAAATCAGTTTTTTTTTGTTAGAAGATGAAACAGAAAAAAATCTAATGAAGATCTAAAGTTAAAAATGAACAACCAAAATCTAAAAACGTAAAATGCAACACAACTTCAGTTGAAAAAAGTTTGAGACTGAGAAATCATCTTGTATTGTCAAACAAGGGCAAGCCTGCCGTGTAGAAATGCTCTGTGTTCAAGGAAAAAATCGCCACACAACAAGCAAACTTCTTTGCAGAAAAAAAGTAACTTCTCTTGTTTACAAGAAATCACGCTTTCCATCCTTGTCATCGAGCAAAACAGGGCTCCAAACAAGAATGTATTACCACCCATATTGCACTTCTGCGTACTGCTAAACGTGTGTAACAATTCCATGCCTGACTCTTATGCAAAATCCAACTAATCAAACAAAGATTAACGATGAACCGGGTACAAAAAACAGAAACGCAGATCGGACGGAATTTTACAGTAAAAGGTTGCCAAACACAAGTTCGAATGATGCGGTAACCAATTAGAAGTTGCGATCTTGTAGTTTCGCTCCTTGTTAACGTTCATTGAAGTCCACTGTTTTAATTGTAGCAAGCGCAAAGCAATAAAACTGACACTGCTAACAGCATCTTGCTAAATGAATGGCGCAGTTACCGCCAGCCAGTTTTTACAAATTATGGGATTGATACTTTTGGACCCTTTTGCTTCTCAATCAGGAGGGAATCTGAGAAGCGAAGACGCTGTATATTTAAATGTATAATCACTAGGTTTATAACAATTCAGGTTGTCTGATCCAAGGATAAGAATTCATGTGTAATGGGAAAGAAAATATTCATTGCTTGTTGAGACAATCTGTCGGTCCTTTGGTCAGAGAATGGCACCGGTTTTGCGGAAGCTGAGTGAAAATCTTTTGGCGTCCTATTCAGTCCTGGAACGCACAAGCTATTTGCTAACGCACAAGCTCTTTGCTAACGCACAAGCTCTTTTGCACAAGCTAAAGTTAGTAAACAGAAATTGACCCATCCTACTGCCCCGCACCACCGTCGTTCACGGGAACGACTCGTTTGGTATTGTAACAGAATATGCTACGCAAAAACAGGAAGCAGGAAACTCTCTCATGAAGTTCTCGAAAAAAAAATTGCGTTAAATTATCCATTATCACTCGCCCTATTACATCAGTCAGTCCGGAGTCAGGATTATTTTGAAATGTTTTCTCCTAATCACTTTTTGCTAGACCGAAAAGATACCAGCTTCCCTACTCTTTTTTTTCCAATTTTATTTCGAGTATATGAACATCACAGATTTGTTGGCTTCGTGACCATGTGCCAGCTGTGAATGAGCTCCTTAAGTGGCTCTCCAACAGTGACGTAGTCTTGAACTCAGGGGATTTAGTGTAGATTTTTGATAAGCGCAGCCCAAGGGGACATCAATTTTTGGCTCTTACTAAGGCGCTTATGTAGACGAAGCAGTATAAACTAACCCACAGTAATCACGAATCGCTTCAGAGAAATAGGGCGACCCATCCCCTAAACTCGAACTAATTTATTTTACGTTCTTTTGAGATGCTGAGGTTGTTCACGCTCAAATTGATAGTGTAAAAACATTTGACTTAAATTTTTTCAATTAGACAAAAAAAAATTGGTTGAAAATGTTCTCCGACTAGGTCATTTTACTAGCTCTTGTTGTGCCGAATAAGTAGTACCTTATTCTTTTATGAATGTGATTTCTTTATGTTGTTTCTGCTTAAATTGGCAGTAATTTAGAGAGATTGAAACAGATTTGTAGCTTGAGTCTTACAGGATACGATAAAAGAGTGCGTCCACAACAAACCTGCAAATCCTCAGCAAACAAGAGCAATTTAGTTCAAAACAAGGGCAGAACATGAAAAAACATCATTTTGGCGTTCTTGAACACATTTAATGCCTTAATACTCCAAAACGCATTAGTCATCTCAAATAGATTTTTGTTGAAAAAATTGCATATTCTTAAAATGATTTAAAAGCACGGGATCAACTGAAACGCTTTTTTTCCAATTTGAATCGCAATAACACTCCTGTTTATATCGCATATGGTTGATCTTGTTAATAAAAGTGATTATGCTGCACAAGTATAAAATAAAACTCGGTTTTTTTCTCTGAAAATCGTTTCGGGATTAAAAAGGAAAAAGTTACTTGGTTTTTTTGTTTTTGTTTCGACCTTTGAAAATGGAGAGGAACTTTGTATTCGGGTGTACTTTAAATTTTTTTCAAATTTTGTTTTCCACGGAAAATCAGCTATCACAAATCATCATTAGATACAGTTGAGAGATATTTGGCCCTTTCAGTCGTGACTCAAACGACATTAAAAATATTAAAAAGGTTTTTCAGTGTCGAGAAAAACTTGAATTTTTGAACTTCTTGGATTTTGGTCTTTTTTTGATCTGATACGTAAGGTGTTTACTAATTGCAATAGCTTATTTGAGCCTTAGTTAAGCCGTGAAATTAAGAAAAAAAATTTGTAAATGTAGTTTTTTGAGATTTTTAGCGCAAATTTGGAAGTCAAAAACTTGGAAATTCAAAAAAAAAAAATTTAAATTCTATTATTTCGTTCAGATTTTTTATCAAAACATGCAGAAAAAAAATCATCCTTGTTAATAATTAAACTCAGTTGAACAATTTTTATGCTTGCAATCAGGAAGTGTTTCTAAGTTAGAAAATGGATTTTTCTAGGGCAATTTTTGTTTCAGCGCATGCGATTTATAAACGTCGTTAAAAACTGATTTTCTGGAAAAATCAAACTAATTCACTGGCTTACTGCTTCTTGTTACAGTACTAATTTTTAGTTGAAATAAAACTTGCTGTGATCTGGTCTTATTTTTTTATTAATAAAAATGCGTGTTCGGAAGTCGGACAAATGGAAAATCTCAATAACTCTGTGCTTAACGTCAGAACTCTTCACGAAGAAGACAGAAAAGAAAAGAGCACGTTTTTAAAAACAGCCTTGGAAGACAAAAACCAAGTATGCCCAAACAGTATAGTAGGCTCCTCGAGTCCTGTTGGTTTCATAGAGAAAATCCCCTCACGAATTTTATGGATTCATCGATACAGCGATCAAAATTAT